TCACTGATTCTCTTTACTTGTACTCTGTAGGTAATGCACACTATCATCAGATTCAATTGACTTCCAATGTCGCAGTCACAGATTACAGAGCTCTCATGTATTTTGCTGTAAATGTCACTTTGGAACAAGGTATTCCAGAAAATAGAATCGTCCACATTCCACTCAATGTTGATTATCAAATAATTGTCCAACCAACAATCAATGGAACCTTACAAGCAACAATGTCACTTTCAGATACAAATGGACAAAGTCAAACCAAATTCACAACCAATGACAAGGTCAATGTTAACATTCTTTCAGGAACTTCTTTGGGATCTAACAAACTTTCCATCTCTGATGCTTTTTTCTGTTGTTTTAAGCAATTCACTGCTTCCATTAGTTACAATCCTTCTCAAGGTCAATTTGGATGTTCAAAATATGATTCTGCCACCATGGAGGTTTGGTCAACTTTGATTGCCAATTCTGCTGCTTCAGGTAATCTTCAAACTGTGTTGAACCCAAGCTCTGGTAACACTGCTAGTTTCTCCTTCCAATTATTGTCCTCTATTTTCCCAGCTAAAGAATCTCCATACTCTACTTCATGTTTCATTCAATCAAATGTTGGAATTTCACCAAGTGTTAGAAGTGTTTCAGTTATTTCTTCTGTAAATCCAACCGAAGTTGATTCCATGTTAGTTGTTAATATTCCACAAGGCACCAAAGTTGTTTCCAAAGCTTCATCTGTGATTTATTCAACATTCTTGATAGCTCTCTTGTTTGTGATCATGTTTAGTTTGTAAAATAAATAAATCTACATTCTAAAATCCACCTTGTTATTTATTTGCATACTTGGCAATTTGATTAGACATTTTGTATCGATAGGATGGTGGTGATTGATCTAAAGTATTGATAAAATATTCTTCCATTGGTGTTGGTGGATAGTAGAGAGGAATTTGACATCTAGTTCCATTATATTTTGAAAAACAACGACAATTATCTTGTCCAATACAGAAACCGTTCGAAGAGCAAGCATCTGAGCTTGATGCATTCTTTCCAAAACATTGCCATTCATCAACAGCTATAATAATGTTATATGCAGCCCCTGTAGTGATTGCAAGAGGCATCTTTCCACTTGGCTTTGCTATTGACAGTGTAGGGCTGGTATTTGAAATAAGAGAAGAAGATGGAACAGATTGATGATATTGATTATAACCTGTTCCATAAATATTGCCATTATTTGTAATATATAAATTAGTATAAAAGTTGTTATAATCTCCATTTGATATATCAACAACCAGCTCAGAGTTTGGCATTGTCCAAGCAAAAGATGTGCCTGAAGTAAAGTAGATGGCAACACCATCATCTGAAAGGAATAATGGAAATGAACCACACACAATTTTGATAATTTTCTTGCTTCCAATTGATCCACTTTCTAATCTTGTCCATTGCGAAATTAAATTAGATGTTGCAGAGCTTATTACTCTGTTCGCATTATTTCCAAGTCCGAAAACTTTTCCTGATTTTGTCAAAATGTAAAATGAACTTTCGCATGCTGCAAAATCTTGAACCGTTTCATTAATGTTGGTAATATTGGAAATGTCTAATAAATTCCAAGAAATTGCTACATATAAAGATGCAAGAGAACCTCTCATCATAATATTTCCATTATCAAGTTGAACAGCATAATACTTTGTTCCAGAAGCAATTTTGGTTGCATTCCAATTTGTATTTTCGGAAAACAAATCAATTGGTGTTGACAATGAAGAGTACAAATTGCTAACTCCCAAAGGGTAACCATCTCCAGAACCCCATCCATAGACTTTTCCAGAGCTAGTTAACACTAGACCGTTTGTACTGGATATTCTAATATCAACAATTTCAGTATTATTGAATAGAGTTGAATTCACCCGTTGAGGTAAAGTGGTAGATTTGATGCTCTGGCTGTTCAATGATAAAGAATTTTCACATGCTCCCCAGTTGTGGAGAGTTGAATTTTGATTTTCATAATTAATGTTAATGTATGAACAAGCTCCAACAGCTCTAACTGAAACTTTCTTAACATCTCCAGTAAAAGGGTAGTAGCCATTTTCAGTTAGTGGAGATGGTTGTTGTAGCAGTTTAACATCTCCGTAACCCATTTGAGCTTGAAAATTATCACCAAATGCAAAAATCTTTCCAGAATTTCCAGAAACCATTGCATAACTGTACAAATTCAAAAAACCCTCTGGTGAAATAGTATCAGCTCCAATATTGACGATATCAATATTATTACCTGAAGTAAATCCGTTGTAAACAGCTCTCCCCCAGGATAATAAATTAGCGGCTCCTTGAATACCAAATAAACAAAAACCTGCATACTTTCCTCTATCAATATCAAGGATATCACCAACCAGACCTTTTCCTGCAGCTGCACCAGTAATTAATGATGTCATGTTGTAAGGTGAGTAGATATTTGAACCTCCATAGGCAACACTAGAGCTAGCTTCTCCACCTTGATTAGTTCCAAAAACATAAACATGCTTTGATTCAGTCAAGACAGTTCCGGTAGTTATTCCTAGACAAACTTTTACAGCTTTTTCAGTGGAATAATCTAGTGGTAACAGTTGTGGATCTGAATAGGTATTAGCATTATTTCCTAAACCAAGTGCGCCAAACGCATTATCACCCCAAACCAATACATGACCAGTTGTGTTAATTGCAGCTACGCCTTTATCATACACTGACATATATCCAATTGCTCTCAACAAAGGTATAAGTGTTGGTGTATTCATGTTTTCAGTTCCTGAAGTGTGTGATCTAATTCCAGAATTCCAACCTCCCCAAGAAAATACATGTCCAGAATTCATCAAAACAAAATATGTTTCTGAACCAAAGGCTCCTGTAACAAATACTTTTTCAATATAGGTACTAATATTTGGACCTCCATCAGGATCTGGAAAAGTTGTTGGTACATTGTATTGAGTAAGACCTGCCCCACCTAGCGAATGTACATAGACCAGATTATCTGTTGTTGCCAAAATGCATGTGAACCAACATTTAATCTTGTTAACTTCCTTATTTTTCAAAGGATTGGAAGCAATGTATTCTTGTCGATAGTGTCTAATAGTTACATATTTGGAAAAATAATATGGAACCTGTGCAAATCCAAAAGCTGTATTACTGTTGTCTCCTGCTGCAAGAATAGTTTGTCCAATCAGTGATCCATCAGTAGCATTCTTGAAAGATAACAGTACAAGTGTGAAGGTGTGACCACCTGTAATGATTGGTACTGTTGTTTGAACATTACTCATTCCGAAAGCCACATTCCATGTATAATTATTGGAAATTATTTCTGTGAGTTGTTGTGTCACTTCAACAGGCGTGCTGGCTGAAGCCAATAGTGGATATCCCAAATTGCCATACATGTTACTTCCCCAAACTAAAATTTCAGGATTGGAATAGCTGATGCATTGTACTGACGGAATTAGTTGGACGAATATGCCAACAATGATTAGCAGCGCTGTGAAGATATTAGAAATCATGATGGTATTTTTTTGGCGTTGTTTTTTGCTGTCATTGTTGTGTCTTATGGTCACCTGACATGTTCATCAGTGATGCGGAGATTCTGACACAATTTTACAATCGTTCCCAAGAGCACGTACCATTTCTGTTTCTTACCACAGTCACCGTTTCATAGGGAGGCAATCTGTTGCGCCAAACCTGTCTGTTTTGATGGTTTCTCTTGTTGTTTCTTTGAAAGTAGAATTCACCATAATCTGTCAATACTAATTTCAATTCAATGGTATTCAATTTTTGAACATCACTCACAACAGGAATCATCCAATTTAAAATTTTAACCAAACCTTGTTTAAACTCAATGACACGTTCTCTTCTTGCTGCATCTGCAGAGTAGGCCTTATTGTTAATGCCTGATACTATTTCTCCTGCTAATTGCATGCTTCTTATTGATGATGCTTGAATACTACTAAAGTTAAAGTTGGATCCCTTTAAATTGAGAACTTTCAATGATGATCCGAAAGGACAACTTATTAAATGATAAATGAATGAAGGCCTTAGTTTAGAGTTAGTAATAGACAATTCCTCTAATATTTGGAAATTTATCAAACCATCATCCAAGGAATCCATCTTATTCAAGTGTAGTACTTTCAATAAATGGCCAGAAGCTGATCCAAGCATTGAAATTGCATCCTTTGTGAGGGTGCACTCTACGAAACTAATCTTTCGTAGGCCTAAATTTTCATTAGTCGGATCAATGTTTTTCATATGTGGTTCGATAGCTCTACAAAAATCACCAACTTGCGCATTTCCCAATAAACCTAATACTGCTGTATGAACGTGGCACGATTTTTCAAAAACATTTGAAAAAAAATTGGCATCAGCCTTAATACTCAATACTAGATACTTGACATTTTCAAATAACGGTTTCAACTCTGTAAAATTATATTCCACAAAAAACCGATTATCTATCCATTGAAGATATTCAAGATTTGGAAACGGACCAAAACTGGATAATCGATGGCTATGATTGAATCCCTTAAAGTCAATAAATTTAACAGTATACCTAAAAATATTAATTAAATATTCAAATAATGCTTTTCCAGTTAAATATTTCACATTTGGAAATACTTTTGGTACAATAAAATCCAACACTTTTGGAGTTAGTATTTCAGTAGCGATTGGAGTATTAGGATCCTCCAGTAATGGTTGTATAATATGATGATTCAAGTTGCAATAGTCTAGTAGAGCATCCTCTACAATACAAGTTAGAATGGGTGTTTTTGGCTTTTCAATTTTTGTTAAATCCAATTTTTCCTCATTTTCAATACTGTCAATTATCAAGTCCTTTTCACAAAATGTGGTAAAGAAATCAAAATGATGCCAAGTAGAAATTACGTATCGTTCATATTTAGATATGGAATCATTCCAATCTTTACAAACAAGATTAATACTTTTGTGAAGCATTTTCCAATCTAAGAATGAAAATATTTGCAACAACAATTCATAAGGCATTACTCCAAATATTCCAAGTCTAGTTTCTCTCTTCTTTAGAATTTCATTGAGAGCAGTTTTGAGTTTCCTCACTTTCTGTTTATCAGATCTTGGAGGAAGATTTGTTTCTGTTGGTATCTTGTTGGTTGTGATGGCCATCTTGGTTTTTCTGCTTGGTTGTTTGAGCGTTTTCTTTACAGCTTGTTCCTTCTTTTCTTGAATTTCCTTCTTTACAGATGGAATTAGAAACTTCAAATGATCTAAAATTGAAAAGTTACAATTCTTTGGAAGAAATGATGAAGGTACGGAATAGAGATTTGTTGGTATTCGTTTAGATAAATGACAAACAACACTTTCTAAATCTCCCAATTTATCAAAATCTTCACCACAATCGTGAGCATTATTCTTCTGTTTTAATGCATCATTAGAAAGACGTTGTAATTCTTCTTCTCCCAAAGATGATGATGATTCACTACCAGTTGTAATTTTCCTAGCCTTTGCTTCCTTTTCATATCCGAATTCGTGATGTAAAAAGGCTTTGATAGCCAATTCTTCCGAAGATGTATTTTGTGAAGATGTTGCTGCTGGTCTTTTCCTCTGATTATTCTGTTGATTTTGTTGTTGGTATTGTGTTGGCTTTGCACTCTTCTTATTGTTGCTATTTGAAGCAGAAGATGAGGAGGGTTTCATTTTCAAGAGAAGAGAAAGAAGGGCATCAAAGTTTAAATATTTTTTTTGATTAATAAAAATAAAAAAAATTAAATAGAGGACAATCATCGTCGAATAGTTAATCAATGCTTGGCACTGCGGATTTTGTATAATATTTGGTGGAAACTTCCAACCTTTAAATATTCATCACCACAATTTTCAACATCCAACTCCAATGTTGTTCTTGGAAACGATTTTATTGGAGAGTAGAAGTACCCTGCAAATATCTTGATGATATCAAAATCACCATCATCAGCACATTTACTTGGTCATCACAAAAACTGTTAATTGGGGATTGCTCGGAATGGTCAATAGTATGTGTGGGGTGAATCTTGATTTTTGTCATGAAATCGGTACAAGATTATTTTCACATGTACACAACCTCATCAACCAAATACAAGCTTTCTTCTAGTAATAGTACTATTTAATTTTCGCAACAACATCTTCATCATTACTTGGTAATATTGTCATGGTGTGGAGGTTGGATACCACAAAGCTTCATATCATCTCAACATAATCTAAATAGTAATAATAGTAATTTTTATTAGCGGATTATCATCATTTAAGAACATCCCTTCATGCTTCGGAATACATGAGTTGGAGAACCAGCAACTTGGATTGTTGGAAATAGTCAACAGTAGCAATTTGTCCTTGGATTTTCATCGGGAATTTCAGAAACAAAAACCTTTGAAAAAAGAGTTTTTAAACCTTATATTGTTTAAGGAATTCCACTTATTGTAAATACATCTCTCTCAATAACATTGATTGGTAATTTTCCAGAGGTACCATTCCAATAAATTGATATTAAAAAATCACGTAAACATTCATCTGAATCACTCATTTCTTGTGTCAATCCAACTTTTAACATTAAATAACTGATATATACTGTTGCACAATTGCCTTTTTGTTTTCCAATTGGAACTTGATTATTGAGAATCTCAGTTTCTTCATCCAAATGTGTAACTATTACGCTTCTTTCACCATTGTAATCACAATGATAGGTTGAAAATTTAAACTTGGTCAACTCATCATTTCCTTGAATATTTGTGATGGTTATTTCAACTTCTGTCTCTAATTGATAATATGGACCTTCTGAATAAGACCATTTGGTAAGAAATAAATTTGGAGTTAATTGTTGAATCATTTCTGAAACTAGTTCTGAATTATTTTCATTTAGTGTTGCTGGTGTGCGAACATAATTTCCTATTCCTTCATAAACTGAAAGTAAATAATTTAAACAATTGTTGGATTGTTGAGTTAGAAACCAGTTTCGAATACTTTTCAACATTAACTTTCTCCTAGAACAGAAAATCCTTGGAAGGACAACTTGATCAGTAAATCCTCTTGCTTTCATTAGTTTTTTCATGTTGGTCAGCATTAAACGTTGCCAATAATCAGATGTATTAATAAAAGTTTCATTCCAATCTTTGCAAACTAATCTTAACGAAAGTATTTGTTGAATATCTGGTGATTGGATAGGAGTTCAACAATCTCATAGATGAGCACTCCACCAAGCGAATCCATTTCTTGTATTTTTTTCTTAGAAATTTGTGGCAGTCAACTGTCTTATTAATAAACTTTGATGAACATCCAACATGCGTATTTGAAAATCTACACATCAAAAAATATTCAACAAACGGTGATGATTTTCGGAGTGGTTTTACATCATATCATCATGATTTGGAAATAATTTTATTATTTGGAAAAATTCAAGTTGGTACATCATCATCGGAACAACTACCAACCATCATCATTGTTATTTATCATCACTATAATAGTAATATTTGTGGAAATAAATCTGATAATAGTAATATTTTAGTGAAATTCAATATTTTCACTAAAATCGTCATCACTGCCAGATTCACATGATAATTTGGAAAACTTTCAATCTAGTATTGTTCAGCATGGTCAATTCCATCAGGTAAAATCACTTCCGAACATTTTCCTATTGGTTATCATGATGGTAGGTACATGTATATTTTCAACATGTACATGGACTATATCTCAACATATACTTCACCAACTTGGAAAATGTCTTCGTAGCTACTATTCAAATACATAATAAACAATATATTTATTATCAGTTTTTCATTATTTTGTTGTTTTACCAACTTCGGAATATTCATGATTACAAATATGATTCATGCCAAAAGTACATAGCCAATCATCTTGAAACATTAATAAACTTTTATTAGTACTATTGTAGATGTACCATATCAATTATTTCGTCTTGTTTCGTTGAAATCATGAGGATCTATTTTTCTGTTTTTAATTAAATTTCACATCACCTACACCATATTTGTTGATGTAAACTAGACCAGACTAGTTACATGTAAATAATCCGTTGATTCTCTAATCATGTTTTACTGGTGTATTTAGGATTTTGAAATCTTGCAAATTATTCTGAGGTTATTCTTCATATAAATATGATTCCTCACTTCATGATATGAGGAGGGATTGATATCATGATTGTTTGGAAGTGTTGTACAAACTTTGGAAACTATCTGAATTGAAATAAAGCAGAAAGAGTAATCTTTAACACCATATAAAATATGACTTTAGACGATTGTTTTGACAAGGCAAATTTATGCGTAATAAATCGCATAGAACACATGGTCTATTATATTCAATGAATAAGGGATGAGAAACATTCATTAGAAGAAGATAGATTTCCAGTGATATATTCTCTCACTACAATTTATTATTTCAATATCTTTTAAAGTAATGAGGAAAGTATTTCAATCATACAAATAATTTTGATTTGACTGAAAGCCACAAGGACATTTTAAAATATTTATTAGTCAGATCAGAAAAAAAGTAATTTCAATCAAGCATTTATTTTGTAAGAATAAAAATTGAATTGGATTTTTTGTAAATCTGTCAGATTCCAGTAAAGTACTATTTGTCATATGTGGCAACTCAATTCTGAAGCAATTTTTGTTCCAGCAATGGTAGTTGTTTGAATAATACCTGCAGAATTTATCTTATTCTATAAGTTTCAAATGAGCATTGATGGAAACATGCGTGGTATCCAACGATGATCATTTGGAATGATTAAGGTAAGGCCGTTATGCCTGTGAGCGCTGAAGTTTCTGCCAACATCAACTTGTTTTGTTTGGCAAAGAGAAACATTTCCTCTCTTGAAATTCTCCAACAAACTCTTGGAAGATCACACTTGGTGGCCAACAGCAAAAATTGGGTTGCTTGAATTCCGGTGCCTCCGTTCTTAATGATTGATTGTATTTGTGGAAAAACATTTTCCTTTGTGTCCGTAACTGAAAAGCAAATTACTAAGCTGGTTGACTTATAGTTAAGCGAAACTTTAGGAGAGTAAACACCCGTGTGGTAAATGTTTTGGTAGTAAATATTGACCTTCTCATGAGAATTGGAATGGAAAGTATTGTATGCGAATTGATGAAGTAAACTGTTAGCTCCTGAATCGTTTCCTATTCCTACACAAATGATGTAGCTATACCGGCTCTGGAATGTTTTGTGATTTCTGGCCAATTTGAAATCTTCCAATGGGTATTTTGTCTGGATTTCTTTTGGTATTTCTATACAACTGGAGAGTGTATAAGTTCTAACAAAAAAACAGTAACGAGCCAAATAGATAAGAAGTGGTCGCACAGAGTCAATATAATCCATTTCTAGCAAGGATTGTAGGACTAGGAGGGCATTATCAATTCCCCTGGTAGACTCCTTAATGACATGTGCACAATAATTTGAGAGAATGTCAAATCCAACCATGTCGCAATAAAGCATCAACTCAATAGCAATGCTGTCATTTTGAATATTTCCAGTCATGATAAAGAGCAGAATAGTTTCCAACAAGGAGGAGCTAACATCCATTGGTACAATTCTCTGAGAGCATTCTATCATTCCACTCGAGAGCAATGTGTTGAAAAAAGGAGATCTATACCTAATAATGTCATTGGTAATTTGCAATACTTTTCCAGGATTGGAATCAGATATTTCATCAACATTAGAAGTGAAATAAACCAATGATTCTGAGGGCTTATCGTCTACAGAGCCATTTAACCACTTTTGAATGCAATTCTCCCATGATCCAATGAATTCATCAATGCAAAATGTTGGATTGAAATTTCGTCCACATCCACTCAAGTAAGATCCGAACTCTTTGGAAATTGTCAAATCAAAAAACTTGGAAATTAGTAATAAATCATAAACATAAAATTCAGAATCAAAAATGTATGGACTAATCTCCATTCCTCCTTCCATTCTTCCATACTCAAAGTAATCTATTATCAAATAAGGACAATAGAGTCCCACCACTAATAGATCAATAACATTCTCCAGATATTTTTGTTTCTCTTTGATATTGTATAGATATACCAATCCTTTGAACTGTTTCTTGGCTATTTCGAATGTAAATTCCAATTCCTCTCCCTCCTTCACTTGCTTGCTAATCAATTTACTGAATGTGCTTACAATTTCCGTATGTATGTGTTTCGTAATTGAAATCTTTGTACCATCCACAATAAAGTGAAAGGTAAAGCATTCACTTGAAAAATTTTGCAATTCAGCCTTTTCCTCTTCTATTATTGTTGTGTTTCTATTTAAATTACTTATCCTCTTTTCGTTTCGTATAATAATTGGTCCAAGCCAATCAATTTCTCTCTTATCCATACGTTTGGACATTTCATTGAGAAATTTACAATAATCAGTTCCGATACTATCAATTAAATAAATATTAAATAAATTAAAATAACATGATCAATATAACACCAACCTAACAATACCATTCAACCATCTCCTCGTAACTCTCTTCAAAGAACTATAAGAAGTGATTGAAGGCTTCACCATCGGATAACTTTGATCAAAGTAAAATTCCAAACTCTTCTCAGCCATTTCCCGCGTCATTTCAGTGTAGACTAAATTATCATCTCCAGCAGAAACAGACGATGATGGTCTTGTTGATTTGCTCATTTTTTTTGGTGATCATCTTCTCCAAGTGGTTCGGCCAAGTTCTTGTAAACTCTTTGTAAAAGTCAATTTTACTAAAACAATTTAATAATACTATCAACAATGAAATACATCATACAATAATTGTAATTGAAGAACTTATTGTTTGCATTGCAAGAATACCTCGTTCAAGAGAAGTCCCCCGGAATAATTTAGTGAGCTTAGCTATTTTCAAGTCTAATCGAACAGTTACACTTTTGGTAATGAATAAAGAGACCATCAATTTTATTAAGTGAAGTTGTTTCTGAAATTGAAAATTGAAGGTTAATACAAGAAATTAAGATATTAAAATTTTGAAAATTCAAATCAAACTGTTCTTGCTGTATCGTCTGACAAGTCTTTCACAATGTTATCATCAATGTTGTCCTCATTGTTGTGGTCATTGTCAACTAAATTTTCATTTTGGGTGATGTTATTAGTTGATAAAGTTGTTGGCTGGGTTGGTGGTTGATTTCCATCTATTTGAATAAACCTTGCCATCTTTGCATTTTCCACAAAAATAGCTTGGGAAAGGTTAATAATTGCTGGTGTGGAGGTTTTCAAGTCGTCAAAGTATTTTGCTGCTTTTCTTGTTTCCTTTTCAACTCCAGATACTGGCATAATTCCATCGTTATCCGTGGCAACTGTTAAGCAATTAATATCTACAGGAATTGACAAATCGTGGAAATCAAAGAGTAAATATTCATTACTTGTTGGACACCATTCAAAGAACACCTTCTTGTCTTTCATAATAATTTCTCTATAATTTTTCATTCTGTTAAATACTTCTTCATTATAAAAAGGTCCAGATCCTTGTTCCAACATAAATCCAACACCATGACCCAATCTCAATTTTGCCTTCATATTTTTGCAAATTTCAATAATTGACCAAAATGTAATGTCCATATGCTTCAAGAAGAATGTTTTATCCTCATCTATAAAAGTGTTCTCTCCACAGTGATATCTTAATCCTAATAATTTTCCTGTTTTCTTATTGTAAAGTTCAGCTATTCTCCAAAAACATTTCAAAACAAAAACGCATGGAGCAAAATACTTTTCATCTCCAACCCAATCAAATCCAACAACTGCACCAACATCAATTACCTTCTCTATTTTAAGCAATTTGAAGAGCTTATCGATTTGTGCCTCAAGTTCATTGCCATCATTTACAATGCAAAGTTGTTCCAATGTTTTTGTGAAAATTTGTTCTGAGAAAGCTTGTTTTAAATACTTTTGACTGCAACAGAAATCGAATTTTTCAGTATCTGACATACCTTCCTTAAAGTGACATGTTATTTCTATTCATTGCGGCCAAAAAGTAATAATAAAATTGTTTGCTTTCATCATTATGCTTAATTTCTAAGTGATTATCAACGTGGACTAATTTAATATCTTCATCGGTTAGAAGAGATCTGTACCTGTTCCAAAAAGTCTCTAATGTTGAGGGTTTCAAATACTTTGAGATTGAATCTGTTTTCAAATCTTTCAGACTAACACTATATTCAACATACTCAACTCCTTCTTTGTAGTAGTTATAAATGGTATGCAGTAAGAGTATGGATAATATTTCAGGATACATAAAATACATGCTATCTTTCAAAATGAATCTTTGTGGATAAAAATCTGGTGTGAATTTGACATTATGAACACCTACAAGTTTCATTTCAAATGAAAGCAATAAAGTGTTGTAAAGAACTCGCTTTGTAGGGTCAGGCTTTCTTTTTTCATCTGCATCTAACTTTGCTATAATTTGTGCATTTGTAAAACCATATTTCAATTCGTATTTTTCTTCTCTTTGGTTGAATACATAGTAATTTTTTGGTTTTGCGCCAATTACTTTACTAATATTAGCAATTTGTTCCTTTTTGGGTAATGTGAATAAATTGAAAGCTCTGCTCAAATCTTCTAAACTGTACACAACATCATTGGTATGAACTGCTTTTAAGGAAAGCACTTCTGATTCCAAAGTAAGGTTGTCTATGTCTGCATTGGTGAACAAACTTGATTTAGTAAGTGTAGAACTGATGTCAAGCGGAACGATTGGCAAAGCTTGCACAAGATTTGGGATATACTTTTTCATGATTACTTCAATCCAGAAATCAGCATTACCCATACCCATTAAATGAGTGTGGAGTTCTGAAAGCTGGTATGAATTACCAATAGGTATGTTTTGATCTGTCACTTTTTGAGGTGGTTGATAATATGAAGGATCGTTTGTTGCTTTAACTGAATGTTCCTCTAGTACAACAGGAGGAATATAATCTCTTTCATTGAACTCTTCATCATAGCTTGTATAAATCCATTTGGAGTCTCCTACTTCAACCAATAAGCCTTTTTCACCTGGTGTTGGTTGGAAGCAGACAGAAATTTCTTCATCATAATGTGTGAATAAATCTATAGCTGAATTCTTTTTAATTGAAATGTAATCTAAAGGGAGTGAAGAATATTTGCTCCACCTATCCTTAGCGTTAGAGTCAGCAATAGGAGGTACTTTTTTAAGATAAAGTTTGGCATTTGGAAGTTTCTGTTGTAATTCTAAAACATGTTCCTTAGAGAAAGATGTTGCACTGTATTTGAGGGAGAGAAAATTAAAGAATGGCTCTGGTGGTGCAGAAGAAAGACTCATAGCTCCTCGCAGCGTTAAGTTTCTAAGAACAGGAGTATTGGTTTTTGAAATTCCATTCAAAAATGTTCCATGAATATTAGGATTTTCTTTACCAAGGGTTTGGTACCTGTCATTATCTCTCTGGTTTGGGATCCGCACATGCTCAGATCTAAAAGCTTATCGATGTGATGTATAATAGACTTATCGACATGTGGTTAAAACAGGAAGGTGTAACTTT